GAGAGAGAGAGAGAGAGAGAGAGAGAGAGAATTTCAATCTTAGTAGTAATAAGTTATTACAATTCCCATAATAATTATTAGTGCCTCTTTGATTAACCTGAAAATATTTACCATTTATCTCATTTGCAAACAGGTATTAATAATTACATAATAATTATATGGCATAATATTATTAAAATGTGGAATTTTAATTATATTTAAAATAAAACACTATTTTAAAGTGAAGAAAAGTTTTATTCATCAACACATTGATAAAGTAATACAAAATAATTTGACCCTGTTGCAAATTACACGATCGAAGTATCATTAGAAAAAGTAGTATAAATAACATTTTTACTTAAAAGGTAAGTATTAGCTAAAAATTAATCATAATTAAATATCATGACAATATGCAAAATATAATTGTGAAGATATGCGTAAATTTAATATTAATTTACACAATAACTCAATATTTACCACAAAAACAATTAACTATGATAAATAAGAGTGAATATAAATAATATTCAATAAAGTAAGCTTCACAAAATATACCTGAAAAAGTAACCTACACACATTATATCTAAATTACAACCTTACAGCGAGTCAAACAGGTCAAACACATAGAGCAGGGGCATTTTATCCAAACGCTTAGGCTTGGTCTTAGGCACCTCCTTAAAATTGGCCTCGCACTTGGTCGGATTGTCTTCATAGCGTGAACAGATCAGGTTCATAGAGTCGACAGATGCCTTATGAATGTGCGCCGTATAGCCCTCGACGGCCTCTTTTGAGCAAACCTTTTCGCCCATGTCCTCAAACGCTTTACGCGTGCATTTGATCCACCGGTAATAGTTGCTAGTTAAAATGTAAAAAATAGCATATTATTTGCATTGTTTTTTAAATATATGTTTTGTGGTTGGGTTCAAATGTAAATTATGTACGACTATAAATATGTTTATAGTAAATTATATGTATATTGTAATGTAAATTATTATGTAATAACCATCGAGATTGTTTTTATAATTTTAAATTAACGAGAGTAAAAAGAATATGTAATGATAAATTACAGCATTTTATTTGTGTATCACTAGAGGAGATAGCATAATAATAATAACATAACTCTGCATGGTTAAATATAATGTATAATCTATAAATAGAATATTAATTTTGAATTTAGCTTACCAGCATACGGTAGGTATTCTGTGTTTGCTGTTCACAATCTTTTTAGCATTGGCCATGGTCACTATCATGCTGTCCCAGCATTTTACTGTTTTGGATTTGGCCTGGTTGCCGCACTTGCCCCAATTAACCCATGATTCTTTCAGTTTACCATTCTTGGCGCAGTAGGCCTTGTTCACTTTGTCAAAGTTATAATTAGCCAAACTCATGAGGGTTTGTGATGTGCTCTTCAGGCAATTCACTCCGTATTGTTTGGAGAATTCTGTGCTCTCTTTGGCTTTCCTGTGTGTTTGGAAAACAACGTGTGATTTATGTTTAAAAATTAATTTGCTATTTATTACTAACTTTATGTACTTTGTATTTTGCAATTTTACTTGTTTAAAAAACATATAATTCTAACAGTTAATTTAACAGTAAAAATAATATGGTTACTTGAATTTAAACTTTTATACTGCTCTTTTATACAATAAAATTTAAAGTAAACTTTTGTACACTAATTATCGGCAACAACAATTCAATAGCATCTCACTCGTCAGTATAAAGTATCTAATAAAATGTCCAAGTTTCGTCGGAAAATTTAATCATTAATTATTTTATTATTAAGTATAAAAATATCAAAATTAATCAGTAAATAAGTTTAAATTTTATACTGCATAAGTTATAACTGTTGCAGTTATGACACAGTATACAATAAGGGTTTATTATTGTAGAATCTACAATGTAGATTATATTTCTACTCGATTAAGTACTAGATACATTAAATTTAATTGTGTTAATACTTAGGCACTTACTTGCAGTACGCACTCAATTGTGACTTGGACTCCGGGAAACTGAGTTCATCTAGACCAAACTGGCCGAACACGTTGCTGGCGTGTTTGTCAAAATCGTCCTTCTTGCAATTTTTATCGTCGGACCTCTTTTTGGGTGCGGCCAACGATAGCCCCAATACGGCCACAAAAACTACGATACAGTAGACCCTCATATTTCACTAATGTGAAAATAGTTATGGTAAAAATCACTTTGAAACTTTAGCCTAATTAAATATTTCTACTATGACTTTCTCATAAGAAATGTTACCATTAAATGAACCAAACATTTGCTTTCGTTGTGAGTTTTATATAAAAATTATTAGCTTTTTGTTTTTTATTTTTTGATCAAATTATGATTAAAGTGGCCTGACTTTGCCTAATATGCCATTAGTGCCTAATAAACCATATGATATGCATACTGAATATATAATGTGTGTTTTATCAATACCTGTTGATTTATTACATGAATACTAATTAATGTCCATTAAATCACACAAAAATAATAGATATTATGGGAATAGATATGTAATTGAAATGATATGTTTTAGTAAAATATATTCATTCACGTGTGAGAGTGAGTGAGTGAGAGAGAGAGAGAGAGAGAGAG